AAAGAAAAAAAGAACCCAAACATGCAGAAAGATTAAATAGAGTGCTCAATGGGTTGAAATTAATCAGCCTGATTGACAGAAGAAAAAAGAGAAATTCACTAACTAAACCATATTATACCAGAGACCATGCAGCATGACAAAAAATCAGAGATGTCTAACATCCTCTATTAGAAAAAGATCTCTTATCCATGCACAGTAAAAATTAAACAGTCATGATATGCCAAATGGTGCAGAATAAGCAACATCACAAATTTCCAGATATTGGGATGTTAAAATTGTTTAATAGCAGGGGATAAACAGCTCCTATCCCCTCCAAAAACCAGAAAGCACCTTCAGTTCTTCCACACGAAGAAGATGCAGGATCATAATGTATGTCAATCGGAACTGAGATTCAAGCTTAGTTGGAGTTCCAGTTATAACATGTTTCAAATCCCTCTCTTCTGGGATTTCATCACGGCACATCACAATAACTGTACCAGTTTTATCAAGTCCTCTTCTGCCAGCACGACCTGCCATTTGAGTGTATTCCCCAGGGAGTACCTGTCTAAATTCCTTGCCATCAAACTTCCTTAATGTATCAAAGACAACCTGCAAAAAATCTTAATGCAAGTTAAAATCAGATTTAAGAAAGAAACCATATAAGTTTAACAAAGTGCATAGCTGTTAACATTATATGCTTCTATAACAAAACATTCTAACTTGCATAAAAGCACCATCTAGCATTTGCCAATCCTTAATACTTCAAACATTGGCACGCAAAAGAGAAGACATCTTGAGCAAAATAACAATATGTAGGCTCATATATGCCATATTCCATCCAAAAGGTCAGTTGAAGCAGAATAGACAATCTTGGTCTTGAGTCAATCCAATTAAGCAACCCAAGAAGGCACTCCAGGCTCGGAAATATGTAACTGTGATCCTGGTTTGCACCAATATATTTCCATTATTAGCAACAACATCAACATCACTCACCGTTCTGGCTGGAGCATTAACACCCATTGCAAATGTCTCCGTTGAAAACAAAACCTACAACACAAATAACGAGAAGCAATAACTAATCAAAGACCATCTAAACTGTCCAAAACAAAGTAAAATGCATGCTAAAACAATCCCAATAGAACCAAACTAAGATGGATTTCTAGACAGTTTTTGATAGCCACAAACTGCAGAATCGTTTTAAAAGCCCAAACAATCAAATGTAGATGTCACACTGCATAAAACCAGTCCATCAATTGAACACTTTTTACCTTAATCACACCTCGACAGAAGAGCATTTCAACAACTTCCTTCACAATTGGAAGCAAACCTGCATGATGCACACCAATTCCTCTGCAAAGAAGGTTCTGAACTCTGACAACCTGTACATCACAATCAAATTACAACTTCTGAAATAAAACGATTTATACAAATTTTAAATTAAATATGTAGAAGATGAAACCTGCGGTAAATTGCGATCAGATCCCTTCAGCCGTGAAAAAGCTTTATCACAAAAAACACGGATCTCACTTTTCTCTGAACTACTAGTGAGGTCAGTCCCGGAGATGCTGTCAGCTGATTTATCACATTGGTTCTTTGAGAAACCAAATATAACCACCTACACAATGATCAATCGCAAAAGTTTTCAAGCTAACAAGGAAAGAAAAGGTTAAAATGAGGGAAAAAGAAACATTTGGTGGTTCTATTCTCATATTTTTAATTAAATATGATAACTAATGAAGGCATTTAGGAAATAAATTCACACGGTCCCAGTTAAATTGGCAATGCAAAAGTGTGTTGATTAAGAATGATCATAAATTGTTTCTCACCCTTCATCACCAGAATGTAAATATCCACTTAAAACAGTCACCAAGGTAAAGAAAACAAAGACACAATGGACCAAACTGGATGGCAATGCAGTGAACATCACAAGTTTTGTAGCAGTGTTTGATTAAAAAAGACAATCCCATTTTTAAACAACATACAAGATAGGAGATAGAAAGAAACCAACTGAAAAGTGATTGTTGGCATAATTTTCAACTACAACCTAAACCAAACAAGCTGCACATTTACAGAACATGTTCAAACAAGATAGTGTAGCGTAACTTACAGGCAATAGTGACTGCTTTGAGAGCTTGTCAATAAGCATCAACCATGTTGATCTCCTAGATCCCCAACTATTCTGGCCACCTCCACTGCCTTGATTCCCCCAACCTGTCCCAGAATAGTTCCCCAAATTTTGCGGACCAGAATGCTTATTTTGTTTCCCTCGGTTAGAAATTTCACGTTTCTGACCTCGAGCCCCATCATGAACTGCAGAAGAACCAGTATATGAACCAGTACCGCCACTAATTGCATTGGAATTCTTTTTCTTGTATGCATCTTTAGCAGCCTTTAGTCCCAATGATATAAAAGTTTCACTTTCACATATTTTGTAAAGTTCTCCAGAATAAAACAGGCAATGCTCCAGTGGGACTGGTCTTTTTGTCGTCCTGAAAACGGAATTTACAGTGAAACATGATAGTAGTGTCAATAAGTTCACCCAAAAAAGATCACAAATCTTCTCTGCAACGGTTAAAAGATTTCGGCAAAAAAAGAAACAATAAAGGCAGGAGGGAAAGGTATTCAAGAAAATATCAATAGTTTCAAAAGACTAAAAACTACTTAGACAGCTGAGAATCTAGCTTCAACCACAAGCAGAGGCTTACTACTTACCCAGTGACACGAATTTTTTTTTGCTTTGTCCGACCAATCCAATCAGCAAATTCAATTGTATTCGGAACCTGTAGAATATAGTGCACTATATGTGTCAACCATGTGAAGACGGTATAAAGAGCAACACAGAAAGCTATGATTTTTTACACAAACAATGGATTAAAGAACTGAATAGCATAACTCAAGAATGATTGTTTTAATTGTTAATTTTCAAAAGTGACATTCACAAAATGGAAACAATCAAGAATATACTCTATTGCCAATGTTCATCACCAATTGTATCTGGTTTCATAAAGCAAAGTAATAGAGGGTGCTTCTCCCATTTACCCAATTTTCTATCCCCCACCATTTACAATAGGGAATCCCAGAAGCAAAGGTGCAAACGGTTCAAATTGCTTAAATAGACTTTATCTTAAATTCTTCGCATTCAAAATCCTTAAATAATTTCTTTTAAGCTTAAGAAAAATTCAAAATCTTAAATTACTTGACGATTAAAACTGATATTTTTATCAAGTATTTAAGGTGTTTTGAAATAACAAAATTGCTTTGAAACAAAAAAAAAGGTTCAAATTAGAATTTTCTTTTAAATGAGAAGCTACAAGGATCGATCCCAAGGGTCAAGAGATCAATCCCTTTGAGAAAGAGTCTAAAAGATCCCTTACTACCTACTATGGATCAATCCCATCCTTTGAGGGATCAATCCCCACCTCACAAAATTCAAATTTTTATGCAACAAATAAAGGCAGGATTGATCCCTCATATTGGGATCGATTCCAAAATTATCTGTTGGAAGTAAAGTATGCAGATTTTCAACAAAGCAACAGCTCTTTTTGCATTTAATGCTACCCAACAACTCCAAAAGGCTTTCTAAGTATAAGTACACCATCTTTGGGTCATATATGAAGAAAAAGAATAGAATAAACAAGAAAAAGGGTTGAGGGCAAGCATTTATTTCATTCTTTTAGACTTTTCCTAGCCTTCACGTGATCTTAAATCCATTTGAGTTTTTGTTCCTATTCTTTGTAATCATCTTTGACATTGTCACTTTGCAAACTTGCATTCACCAAGCAGTATCCACCAATTAGAGGTCTTCTTGCTTTGTACATTCACAAACACTCAAATCCTTGAGAGAAAAGGAGATTATACCTTAGACTTCAAAACGTATACACTTCACTCTTTATCTTTCGCATCTACTTTCAATTAGATATTTAGTGAATTGTTAATCATCTTTACATGTTGTATATTTCTTTTGAAGTTTATTATGTGAAGAAGATCTTGGAAATCCAATTTAACAACGCCCCCCCCTCCCTTGGATTATTCATTCTAATTGAGCTAATAGTTTGGTATGTTGATGAAAATTAAATGTTGAGTAAAATGTTTATCGAATCTTTATAAAGAGAAATATGATTCTATAAGTATTTTGTATTGATAATAGTTAAAAAAGGAAAGAATATAAGAATAATGTAATTAAATAACACTTTTTTTCTTACATAAATTTGACTTAATACATCAAGTAGCTTTTATCTACATAAGATTTTCAACATTTTTCATTGAAAATCTTTCATTAAGTGGTTTTTAAAATTAAATTATCAAACTCATTGAAAAATATAAATCACTGAAAATATTAATTTTCAATGGTTTGACAACTTTTAATGGTTTATCAAACACACCCTAAGCTGATAAAGGAACTCTAATGCTAGAGAAGAAAGTACCGTGGCTGAAAGGAGGATGATGTTAATATGTTTTGGAAGCATGATTATGACCTCTTCCCAAACCACGCCTCTTTCAACATCATTCACGTAGTGCACCTCATCAAATATAACCTATATCCATATAGTCAAACAAAAAGCAACATTAAGAACTCATTAGCTTTTATAATTATAAATTACAAAAAAGAACAAAGCATTGAGCAACAAAAGAAGTAATGAAATAACAATTTAAAGGGATGCCACATAAAACAATCCCCTAATTTACCCATTCAATATCGCGAATAATATCCGCACCCCGATAAAGCATTGACCTTAATATTTCAGTCGTCATTATGAGACAAGAAGCCTCGGGCCTCAAACTAACATCACCAGTGAGAAGACCAACATCAAATTTCCCACAGAAATCTCTATACTTCTGATTGCTGATTGTTTTAATTGGAGCTGTATACACAGCTCTAGTGCAATGCTGCATGACATAAAAGCATCATCAAAAATCTTGAAACTAAATCAAATTTGCCAGAGAACTTCAGAAATTATGGAAATCAAAAAGATATGGCCTCTAGTTCTTAACCAATGTAAAGGATTCAACACATCTACTACTAATGGAAACAAAACAATGTCTATAATTTTGATTATCATACTTTTGACGCCAAAGCAAATGCATATTCCGCAACAACTGTTTTTCCAGCAGATGTATGAGCCGCCACAAAAACAGACTCCCCCTTTTCCAAATAATAAATAGCCTGGAATCATCACAATAAACAAAAGGCTTATGTAAGCACAGTGTTACATAAGATTAAGAATTACCCTTCAAGCAAAACAGACTGCAAGTCATCAAAGGAAAAGCAATAAAAGCAACCCATACAAAGGATTTAGAAGTGGGTAAACCTAAGGCCATTACATAATCCCTGTGTGCTAATAGGAACTCCAAAAAAGCAGGATTTCCTTGAAGCATTTATGATACCCAAATTGTATTCAGCTCAAGAGACAATTTAAGTTAAACAAAACAAAGAACTATCAAGCTCATACAAAATGGCAAAACAAAAATGAATCCAATCAAGTAAAATTGCACTGCTCAATGTTTTAGTACACGGGGAGAAAAGTCTAATAGAGATCAATGACACTTTGAGAGTTTTACAAGCTTGAGCAATAAGAAAACCAAACGGATGACATTGACAAAGAAATATATTTTGAATATCACTTTACCAGTCAGGCTTCCACTAAAATGCAGAAGCTTAGGAGAATTTGAATCATGTAAAAGAATCCATTTCCCTTAAAGGACTAAAGGATCAATGAGGTTTCATTTCCCCGGCCAAAGTTACTTTCAGAAGTCAATGTCATTTTCTACCCTAACCATGATAAATCTATTGCATTCAAATTATAGAACAAAATTTGCACGGCAGATACCTCCTTCTGGAATGTATCCAATTCAAAAGGATATTCAATTGCCATGTCAGGAACTAGTTCGTAAAAGTGATCAGCAATCCCTTCGCTACCTCCACTAACAGCCCAAGCCTGCCAATAAATGGTCTCAATAACCAAAATCATTACCAAAAGGGAATAATAATACAAACAGACTGCACAGGTAGGAGAGTGTTCCAGATGTGACAAATTGTTGTAAACTGCAGTTTATTTTTCAATTACTTTACCTCCTTTTGTTGCTGACCACCCCCATCACTTTTCTCATCTAATCTTTCTGCTTCAACTGATAAAATCTCATCCAAAGCAGATGATCCAGTATCAAGACTGTTGAGAACATCAGCCTGGTTTGCCTCAGCTTCTGACTTAACAGAATCTGATTCTGTTGAATGCCCTTTTATACGCATTGCATCAGCAACAAAACCAATGGATTAAATGAACAAATAAGAGGGGGGAAAAAACAAAAAATGTCAGTCAAACAAACTTTTCCCAGACCCTAGCTTGCAAACCATGTTATAAGATGAGTACAATAGAAGTTAAATGTTCTTTCATGGGATAAGTGTTCCTGGCATTTCTTACATGAACAAAGCAAGCTTTCAATTTTTGACCTGTCTTCTAAGGGTGCAAAGACACGTGCTCAATGTAGAGAAAGGTCAATCTTTAGCAGGGTAGATACAGACTACTTAAGATCAGCAGTTTTTCTCCAAGGTAGCTTTGAATATTGTACCCAACTGTTAAAAAGATCCACAGGAAAGTTTCCAAACACATGCGACTTACTGTTATCCCAAATACAAAAACCATCCATAATTACCCAATGAAGCCAAGATATAAGCAGGGATCTAGAAAACAAATACAAAAGTTCTTTCATCATAACATATATAATTTTTTTCTTCAACCTCTTGCCTATTGGGTTTCAAGTCTTTACAATATAATCCACTAAATAATTAAAAACAGGTTATAAAATTTTAGCAAGCACCAACCTCTACAATCTTATCAAGATCAAGAACAACCTGATACACTGCAAGTCAGTTTACAAGAGCCCAAAAAGGCCTAAACTCCTTCACTATCATGCTCTTCCTCCCCCACCCCACCCCAAAAAAAAAAGAAAACAGAAATGCATTCGCACATCTCTAATGCTAACTATTCTCAGAATCTCAACCATGCATAGATACAATTTATTTTTTGTCAGCCAAACAAAATTAAGGCGAAGCTCTTCAAGTACTTCATACTTTTTTGCCCATGAGATCACAACTTTACAAGCAGATGCATAAATGAAGAGAACACGGTGCTAGTCATGCATACCATCTTTCTCAAATTCTGCAACATCCTCTTCCCAAGCTTTCTTGAACAAGTCGTCAAATTGTACAGACAACTCACTCTGCAACCACCATGAATATGGAAGGCACAAATTAAATATGAGGCATGTGACAATAGATAAATGATATTTATACATTTTTCATGATATTACCAGGTTCAAGTTCATTCCGTCTAGACAATATGTACCTAATGCAAAGTCCAATAACTAATAGATTGGCAGTAGTTTCAACAGGAATATAACCCAGCAATCCAAAACACTGACCACCTTTTCAACTGATGTGTTATTGAGTGAAGTTCGGTCCTTGTAAACATTCCATAAGCAAGGATGTGCCTTCAAAATTGGAAATGTAAAAGAATTAGGAACAAACAAAAGTACAAAGACCTTATGATTTAAAAGAAAATTTTTTCCAAGTTCAATAATGTATTAAGAAGATTACCGCAAGATCACCAAGGTTTAATCCTTGCTTAAAGCCTGGAGGAATTGTTTGAACAGGACCACCATTTAGCACCTCACTAACCCACTCACCATTACATGCACCATCCGGAAGAATCCTCTCTACAGATTGATCCTCCAAGCCTCCTGGACGAAAAGGGCGTTTATTAATGCTTCCTCTTACAAAATCCTTGGCAGCACCACCAACCGTGTGTGGAAAAGAACCAGAAGCTTGACCCCCAACTATTAGTTCTGACACATCCACCTAACCAATATAAGATTATAATTCTACTTATCAAAAAATAAATAAATAGAAATACCAGGGGAAAAGAAAATTCCTATTCTCTGGACAATGTCAAAACAAAGATAGGAGAAAATAACAAAAAGTTTATGATAAGCTTTTCTTTGATTTCCTTTTCCGAAGGAATACATACAAAAGACAATAGAAGCCATTGCAAATCACACCTGCAATGAATTAGGTTCCCACTTTCCTTCAACTGATCCCCCTTTGCACCGTCTGAAGGGTAACTCCCAGACTGGAACCATAACAGTTCTTGGCAATGATGGCTCCAATGGTATTTTTGCCCTTTCAAACCAGTCAAAATCCCATTGCCTTCCAGCTTTTTCTGGAGAAAAGGCATCATCGTCCAATCTTGGCAAAAGATATTTCTCCTTTATATGTTCCTTGATCGATTCCGGTGTTTCCCTGGGAAATGCAGGTGGCTGAAGCACAAAGAAATATACAAGAAACTAAGTTACTACAAAACCCTAAACAACGGCAAAGCAACTCTGAACCTAAACCTTTTCGACAAAAAAAGAAAGGCACGAAATGTAAAAACAAACAGTAGTTAACTGTTTGCATATGATTAAAGTGAAAGCGGAAAAAAAACAAAAATACTTACGAGAACAAAGTCGGGGAGAGTTTTGATAGGGTTATCACGCTCCTCGGTGTAGAGAGGCTCGACTCTGAGGTGGCCGCTGTGGCCGGAGAATCCGACTCGGAAACTGAATCCGTTTGCTGCTTGGATCGGTTTCATTCGCCTGTACCGTGATGTTCCAGGAATTAACCGTTTTGTGTGGCGGTTTGGTTTCTGGTTTCGATTCGAAAGCTTTTTCGCGGGTTTTGAGTGACGTTGAAAGTACAATTTTCTGAGTGCTACCGTGCATTTAGCAGAGCCTGGGGCTTGTTCGGCTGGTACCAATTCGAATTATGCAAGGAGAGTGAATCGCGAATAAACCAGCATTTGGACTGTTGACGTGATTCTGAGCTTAAACCTGGGCTTCTGTTCTACAATACAGACCCACGTGAGGGCCCAAATATTGACTAGTCATCGTTCTGAAAACACAAAATCGGCCCATACAGCCCAGAAATTATCTCAAACCGGCCCATTCAACCGAATCTTTGATCTTTTAGGGTTAGGTGAACAAGCATTACATACGACAGCCCCTCTAACCAAATTATTTTTGAGAATTTCATCCTATTAACTATATTTTACTCAAAACTTTAACTTTAAAAATAATAATAATAATATTATTATTATTATATAAATATAAACTATTAATAGTTATATAAATAAATATGAATACAATATGATTAATTAAATATATCAATATCCTAAATGTGAATATAAATAAAATTATTAAATATATAACAGAATATGATAGATCTAATATATTTATTAAACAAGTTCGCTAAAATTTTATATAACATGATTTATAACTTATTTTAAACTATTATGTTATTAAAATTTTAAACATAATAAATTTAAATAAATTAAAATATATACAATTATAGATAAAATAAAATATCATTATTCAAATTTAAAACAAATTATTATAAAAATAATTTTCAATAAAATAATAATATCTATAAACCATAATAAAATCTACAAACATCATAAATCATAATAAAATAAACCACCACTATCAATAACCATATAAAATTATTTATATATAAAGATTTAACGAGTCAAATCATAAATAAAAAAATAAATAAATATAAATAAAAATTTTATTTCTTTATAATTTTATAATATAATAACAGAAAAGAAGAGAGAAAAAGATAGATGAAAATTTTTTAAAAAATTAAGTAAATTTAAATGAAACTTATAAAATTATTTTATTGTTTTTTCATTATATTAATTATTTAATTAAAAATATATAATATAAAAAAAATTTAAAATTTTTAAAAAAACTATACCCCTTCCATTACAAAAGGACGCTCCACCCATGCATCTATTAAATAAACAAAAACAATTATTTATAATTTTAATAATTATTTTATTTTTTATTGATATGAAATATAAAATATTTTATTTTATCTAATATCTCCATAAGATTCTATGTTAATAAACAATTAAATAAATTTTGAAATTGTTTATCACAAGTTATCTAAAAATTAAGCTTTTTTTATAAAATTGATTGTTGACAACTATAGAATTGGCAGTCATAGGCCGACTTAACCAAAATAATTATTGATCTTAGTTAAAATTGGGTATCAGCAAAGGATTAGAATTTAATAAAAATTTAACCTTACTCAAAAAATTCGATTTTCTCTTTCGTAAAAAATTGCATTTTATATATATATTCAAAAAAATTGTCAAAAGAGTAGTTAAACTGACAAAGATTTGCTACTTTCGACTATTCACCATTAGTTATCGAAAACGTGTATTCCAATTACAGGTCACTATTTTGTTTATAATAAAGTGGCCATAATCTACGGCGGAGATCTTAACTTCATCTCTGTCCGTTGGATCCTCCCAAGTCGATCACGTGTTTATTCAAAACTAGCCACGTCGATTCATGGAGGCCTTTTTTGTCACTTCACTCTTTGCCGGCTCATCAATTATATCCTCCCATACCATCAAAGTCTACACGCGTAACTTTAAGGAAGCCCGTGAAAATGACCAAAATTCCACGGCCCACGGGCTTGAAGTGAAGAATTCAACCGGATTTTAATGCACTCCTCACGTCCGAATCTCCAGAAACTTCTGTCAGGGCCCCTTACTATATTTTTAATAATATGAACTTTTGGCTATCTTTAATCCGTCCTGAAGAAATCTTCTGCTGTGCAACAAAACAAAGTCTTCGCCCCAGAGAAAGAGAGAGATCTAAACGACTCGATCTTCAGCGTTTAACTGTCCATTCTTGAAGGTAAGTTATCGATTATAATTAATTTATTGTCTTGCATTTAATCGATTTTTATATAATTTTTCCAAAGTCGATCTGTAAATCTGGTGGCGGGTTAATATTTTTTCATGATTTTTATGTAATTTTTTTACGGTGAAATTGAATTTGGCTTCGATTTTAAGATGAGGGATCGGTTTGGCCTTAAATTAAAATCGCTTAGCTTAGTTGCTGAGAGGAGAGTTTAATAGAGTTTATGTCAATCTTGTATTTCAAATAACAAATTTTGAAGAAAAAAATTCACTTAAATGTTTAATAAGTAGAAAAAATTGTTTAATTTGCCATCTTTCTATATAATAAAGATTATAAATTCGTGAATCATATAGTTTGAAATTTTCAATCGTGGGTCGTAAATTTCTGATCGATCGGTATATAAAGATTAAATTGAAGATTTGGAGCAACAGTTTGAGAATGTGGTGAATTTTGTTCTTTTGAGTGAAAGAAAATGCTTTTCTTTAGCCCCTGGACATAATTTTCAATGTGAATTAGTTATGTATTTAGATTATAGGGGAGACGCTGTAATTGGAGGTTACTGTTGGGAAATTGTTACTGAGCTGAGTTTTATATTCATTTTTCCAGATGTCGTACTCTAGGAGGTCAAGGTATTCCCATTCTCCTTCACCCCACAAGAGGTACAGCAGGTCTGTCTCAAGATCTTTGTCGAGGTCAAGGAGCCGATCAAGGTATCATTTATTCTTCTGGTTCTGCCCTTCTGCTGCTTATTGTGGCTTCATGTCTTAAGATGTTGAATTGCTGATAATTGTTTGCCCATTTGATTTTTCGGTTGGTAGGAGTGCTGAAAGTGACGTTGAAAATCCTGGGAATAATTTGTATGTGACAGGCTTGTCACCTCGCATCACGAAGAGAGAGTTGGAGAAACATTTTGCTAGTGAGGGAAATGTATGGATGAGTATAACTTTCATTTTGTGTATCTTTATGTTCTAAGTTTCGGAGTTTTAGTTAAAAAAAATCATCTACAAATGTAATATCATTTAACAATGTTTATGTATCGTCAAAAGCTATGTATATGTGCTTTCTGAGTTCTTACAATGAGAAGCTTGATATATAGGTGATTGATGTCCATCTTGTGGTTGATCCATGGACGAGGGAATCTCGTGGATTTGGGTTTGTTACAATGGCCACTAACGGAGAAGCTCAACGCTGTATCAAGTATTTGAACCGCTCTGTTCTTGAAGGACGTGTTATTACAGTGGAGAAGGTAAATAATTGAGAATTTCAGTTTCATCTTGATTAATGGCTGCTGTGATAGTTATTAGTAAACTGCTCCTTGCTTAAAATTGCATAAGAATTATGGATGGTCAGTTCTATGACTTTGAAAGTTGTTTGCTTCTTTCCACTTGAAGTTTTTGTGGCAGCAGGTTAGCTGTGTGTAGCAGCTCTTCACCAAACTTCAAAAGTCTTACAACTAACCAAACAAATCAAACACAACAACAAGTATCAGACTGTTAGGGTTGTATGCCCTGAATTTCTCTCTTTATTTAGCAGTTGTCTTTTGCTGTTTCATTTATTCTGCATGTTGATCTATTTGTTTATGTTTATTTAAATTTATCATATCTGTTTGGGGGAGAAGAGAAACAATAAGGAAAATCAGCCATAGGCTCTTGCAACACCCCTTATTTGTGGACTGCTTGGTAACTGCACAATCTCATTCTTTGAGTTTTGTTAACTGCAGGCTAAGAGGCGGAGGGGGAGAACCCCTACTCCAGGAAGGTATTTGGGGTTGAGAACCATTCGAGGTATGACTCCTTTCTATTAATTTTGTAATTGGTAAATGTTTTAAGTTATCTGAATCAGTTCTAATATTCTGCCAGCCAACTAGATCATGTTTGATAGTTTTCTTCTGTGCATACAGTGCGTCATCGATCACGAAGCAACTCTTCTCGTCGATCCCCTAGCTATTCACCTTATTCAAGGAGCCGGAGTCAGTCACCTCGTTATTCATCTGGTAGGAGTAGGAGCAGATCTTACTCCCCTCCTCACAGGTCTTACTCACGTTCTCGCTCCCCTTACAGCAGATCACCAGATGACTGCTACTATAGAAGACGTGACCATTCCTACTCTCCTGATGATCGGTATTACAGAAGGCGGGATCGTTCCTACTCACCAAACGATCAGCACTACAGAAGACGGGATCGTTCCTACGCACCTGATGATCGGTACTACAGAAGACGGGATCTTTCCTACTCACCTGACAATCGGTACTACCGAAGACGGGATCGTTCCTACTCACCAGAGGATCGGTATGGTAGGAGGCATGACAGGTCCTATTCTCCATATTGCTCGAGGTATGATTCACCGGCTGATCGATACTATAGACGACACCATTACCGTTCCATTTCTCGAAGCCCTACGCCGAGGAGAGGGTCAAGGAGGAGCCATTCTCGTAGTGTGAGCCCCAAACGTAGAACCAGCTCAAGGAGGAGTTACCCACGTAGCACTTCGCCTGTAGAGAGGAGGTCAAGGAGGAGCTACTCACGAAGCATTTCTCCACCACCTAGGAGAAGCTCTAGGAGTTCCAGACAGGAAGGGTCTCCGGACCGCTACTCTAGAAGCAGAAGTGCAAGTCCAACTTCCAGATCTGTTTCAAGATCAGTTACTCCTAGGTCTAATTTTTCATCCTGAGGATGGTGAAGGATCTATGCTGCTTTAATTCAGATGTTGAGCTCCTTTCAATAATTGGCGTTGTTTCCTATGCTGCTTGTTTATTAGGGAGTAGTTACGCTTTGAAACTGGTTCATGTGGTGAACTCATTTGTCAAATATCACTATAAATTTGCGCAACCTCATTAGTCTTGATCTGATGAGAATGGTTACCGCTTTGGGTTGAATGGTTTCGTATGGATGATAATTTTCAGTTTTATATATATATTTTTTGGTTTTTGTAAATGCGAATAAGAAAAAAATCAAAATTAAGAATAAAAGATAAATAATAAAAATATCAATTAATTAAAATGGAGTTTTAGGGCTCTTCAGTCTTAAGGAATGAATTTCTTGCATCAGAAGAGCGGTG